GACAGAATGATTTCAGATAGATGCTGTTCTTTTGAACTTTCGATTCATCAAAGTATCCTAAAGAAAATATATCACGGTTTACACAAAAATATGAAGCAGCACAACTGTTTTCAACATTATAATAATCAGAAATGTTTCTTGAGCAGCAAATCAGCATATTACAATGATTTCTGAAGATCATGTGACACTGAAGACATGTAATGATGCTGAAAATTCAGCTTTGATCACAGAAATAAATTACATTTTACAATACATGAAAATAGAAAAGTTATTTTAAATTGTAATAATTTTACTATATATTTTTTTACTGTATTTTGATCAAATAAACACAGCCTTTTGAACAGTTGTGTAAGACTGTGGGATTTTTCTACCCATTTCATATTAAATATGGCTAACAGTAATAGTAATAATTGTTTTAGCTACATCTATAAGAGGCTTCTCTAAATAAAGATCTGTGTTTCTGTGTGCGAGCGTCTCAATGTACCATGTGAACCCCACCGAAACTCTCAGTTCGCCCACTCATTCTGAGTCTTTTCATCGCACAGCGAAGACTGACTCACAGAACAAAACCTCAGCGCTGTCCTGAACTCTCACTCCACTATAGAGACAGAGAGCCCAGCTCCTGCTCTCTCGCTTCCTCTGTCTGGTGCACCAGAGCCACACATTAATAACAGAAGAGTGAGGAACAGCAGGCGTAAACTCCAGCGCAATAGAAGAAAGAGAGAGAATCGCACAGGGAGGCATCGATTCATGCCGTTCAGCCAGGAAACCCAGAACGAGGAGTTAGTGCTGGTGAGTTTGGAGACTCAGTGGTGCTAGTTAGAAGGTGCGGAGAGCAGATCTGGAGCACCAGTGAGCCGAGCATTACCGTCCTCTTTGGTTCTGACGCGGGTGCTGCTGCTCTCTGGGCCGGGCCCCACGTCTGTGTGCGCTTTGACCCACACCACGTACTCCGTCCACTTCTCCAGCCCCTCCAGCTCGTAGCTGGACACATCCGCGGGGATGTCCTTGACCTCGTGACGCTGCTGGTCCTCGCCTGACACCGCCTGGTAGGCCAGAGAGTACCTGACGATGTTGCCGTGGCGACTGGCGGCTGGAGGAGCTGCCCAACTCACCTTGATGCTGGTGGAGCTGAGGCTGATCAGGTGCACTTCCTGTGGGGGGGCAGACGGGGCTGGAAAGGGGTGCAGGAACACATGAGCTGGGACCAGTTGCATAAACTTAGCATCTGTATGTCTTAAGATCCAGTCTGACTAACCAGCAGTTTGCCATAGGGTAATCATCTTATTTTTCAGATTCAAATAGTCTACCTTTTTATGTAACTGATTTAAAGTTATGACTAACTTGTATGCAAGTTTATGCAACCGGCTAGCAAAGAACATAAAGGTTCTTTGCAGAACTTGAGTTCAAGGATTGAAGAACCCAGGATTCTTGAGCTGGCAAATACAGGCAAACACACATATAAATGTGTATCTGTGCACCATTCTGGAGGATTCTAAATTGACTTAATGATGCTTTGATTTAAAGGATACTGCTCAAAAGTTTGGGGGGTTTTTTTGGAAAGAAAGTATTCATTTCATTCAGCAAGAATGCATTAAATGGATCAAAAGTGAAAGTAAAAATTTTACAGTGTTACACAAAAAGTATATTTCTATTCATCAAAGAATCTTGAAAAAATGTGTTATGGTTTCCACAAAAATCTGAAGCAGCACAACTTTTTTAAACAATAAGAAATGTTTCATAAGCAGCAAATCAGCATATAATATTACTGATTTCTGAAGATCATATGACACTGAAGACTTGAGTAATGATGCTGAAAATACAGCTTTGCAACATGGGAATAAATTACATTTTAAAAATGTATTACAAAAGAAAACAGTAGATTTAAATTGTAATAATATTTCACGATTTTACAGTTTTTACTGTATTTTTTAATCAAATAATGGTGAGCAGAACGGACTTCTTTCAAAAACTTCTTACCAACCCCAAACTTCTGAACAGTAGTATGTATGTCTGCTAGAAGATGCAAAGTGAAGCCCTGGGGTCTTTGAAGCAGTGGTACACAAATCTTGATACACAAGACTTGCACACATTATTTTGATTTTTTTCTTTAAACTGAAAAAAATGAATCACAATTCATCTATTTTGATTTGTTCTAATGTCAATAAAATCTGAAACCTGTTTAAGTCCCCGTAGAGGAGAATCGCTGCTTTACACACCAATACAACTTTAAAAGTTTAAAACACTTTTTGGAACCTTTCTTTATAAGAGTGAATACTGCCTTATTTATTTTATTTTTTTTAAAGTCTGCACATACTGTAGTCTAAATATTGTGTTTTGAGGTGAAAGCCGAGATTGATGGCTCACTTCTACTCTGTATCTGTGTAAGTATGACAGAGATAACAGATACATTCTGTCTGACACTTTGGCTAGACATGTAATTGATGTGATTGATGGCCTGTCTAGTGTCTGAGATGCTCTATCGATTTACTTTTAAAATCACTTGAGTTCACAGAAAATCCCGCCGCTCCTGTCTATCCCGTCCTGAGAACATGGCAAACTAAAACAATATACAGTAGGATTATTACACGGCTCTCTGGAATACTTGACTCAGACTGAAAAAGCAGCAGACATAACATATTGGCCTTTCTGAACGATATCAGTGATGGAGTACGTATGCGGCAGCACTATGAAAATGTGATAACCGTATCGCTCCTGCGTTTTGTTCAGCAGAGCAGGTGGAAAATGGCTTCCGAGGAAAAAAATAGGTTCGACTCCTCACAGAAAAACAAGAAACATATCCGTGAGTGTGAATAAGATGGTCTACACCTGTGGATTGAGGAAACCAGGAGAGGAAATGAAGAGAGAAAAGACAAAGTGTGGGAAAATGTGGGAGCAATGGGTGAGAAAACAAGATTAAACAGGGAGACACAGAGACACATCTGAAATTCAAGTGGGAGTTGAGAAGAAAAAAAATAGTGAGAAAATAAATACAGGGAAATGAGAAAATGAGCACATGGTTATGAGAGAGAATGAAGTGAGGAAACAGAAAGAGAACACGTTTATTTGTCAGCTGCAGCAGAGGAAAGTGTGAGTGAAATACAACAGGAAAAGAGAAAAGTGAAGAAACTAAACAGAGAGGAGAGAGACACTGGTCACTGAGGAGAAAAAAAAGAAGACAGCAAGAAAAAAGCAATGAATACAAAATATTAAAGACAGCAAGAAACGGAGCAGATGGTAATGAGAGAGAATGAAGTGAGAGAAAGCTATAAAGAGGTGTGAAAGGTCAAGCATAGTGAGCTGCCGACCTAGACAGGATATTACAGGAATAAATCATTCAAAAAATGAAAATTAATTGAATCAATTTTCACTTTTGGATGAATTATTACTTTTTTTTTTTTTTTTAAAGTAACCATGAAATCAAAATGGACAGTTCTTATTTTTTAATGTGATATTGCAGTATTTACTCATTTATATATGCACATCATTTTTTTTAAAATTCATGTGTGATCACAGCAATTAGCAAACAGCAATGATCCAATCAATTCCAGATGGACAAAATCAAGTCCCGCCCTACATTTTTTTTCTAGATTGAGAAGCCATTTCACTCTGATTTAAGTCACAACAGGGAAGAAATGATCACAATTTGTTTCATGCTGACTTTAAAGTGTTCACGCTGCTCTTTTGCTGCTTTTTAAACAAAAACATCAAGTAAAGGAGTCATAGGAACATTTTTTTCCCTTTTGAAACATGACGAACGGGGTTTAAAATAATTAATATTCAGTAATATTATTGATTTAACTGCACTCACTGAATTAAGCTGAATAATGACTGTATTATCTTCTGTACAGCTGCTTTATAGCTGAAATTGAATTGGTTTCATTAATGATGCCTCTTACAACATTAAACCTGTTATTAACCTGTCTGTTAATGTGAAGCTGCTTTGAATCAGTCTGTATTGTGTAAAGTGCTATGCAAAATATATGTGACTTAACTTCACTATGAACATTCAAAAACTTCCTGTGTTCTCTGTGAAGTGTATTAAATGAGTCACCCATTACAAGTTGGGTTAACATGCTCCCTTAATAAGGTAGCTGCTTATGTAGGCAGTGAGGCAGCTCACTAGGATCTGGCACAGAATTACAGAGACAGAAAGACAGAGGGATTTTGGTGTCTCAGGTCTTTGAGGACCGTGACTCAGAGACGCTAGGACAAAAAAGATGGACTCGGGGACGTAAAGAAAAAGCCAGTGTTTCTATGGGAACCAAGCCGCGGCTTAGATCAAACCTCTCAAAGCTGACACGTCTAACAAATAGCTTTGAATAGCAGGAGAGCTCTCGGAGGAGCTGTCATAAATATCTCAGCTTTGGACCATATCTCTGGAGCCGGAGGAAGATGGGGACAGAGATTAAGCCGTACTGACTGCGTCATTCTGACGCCACCGAGAACACAAACAATCAGCGTGTGTCGCACTCCACGGTCACTGCAGCTCTACACGGACTCTGAACCACAAACCAGGACTTTCTGAGACTTTGACACTCAAAAGCCGGTGTGATGCAGCTGAAATGCTGTGTATGAAACAGACGCCAGTGCTGCTCTGCTCTGGAAAACACAGGGTCTTTTGTATGGTGATAAGACAAGATAAATAACAATTTAGTACATTTAAGGTGACATACATTAATCTACACTTTTATAGCATTTCACTGTTTTCCCGGCTTGAGCTAAAAATAATCATGCATGCTGTGTACCAATGTAGTAAATATTTCAAGATGATATTGTGCTTTTGATGGTCAAATCTTATTTGTAAACACTTGCACTAAATGTCTCATAAGTGAGTGATATGGTGCAGTATGGTTAACACAACACAAATGGAAAAATATGGAAAGTAACGTACCTTACTAACAATCTTTAGCCAAGTGACTAGGCCAGTACTGAGCTGCTAAGAAATGGTCAAAGTCTAAGATGGTCATAGTTTGAGTTAGTGAACAGTTGACACTTACTGGACTGGGCCGTCCGAGCCTCTATGGACTGTGTGTACACCCCGAGTCCCATCTCAGAGCGCGCGGCTAGAGTAAACTTGTAGAGTGTGTCTGGCTTCAGGCTTTCAACAGCATATGAACCAGCTGGGTAAAAGATGACATGGTGCTGTGATGGATAAATGACAAAGAGAGAGTGAGAGGCACACACAGGTTACATAGTTCAGAATGCATTATTAGTGTACAACTGCATGCTGCATAGTATATACTTTATAGTGTCTTTTTTTTATGTGAAACAGTATGTAGTATGCAACAAACTGCACTGAAAAATGCAGTGTTGTCATCGTTAAAACTTATAAAAATTTTAGGTAACAAAAAAAATACTTAAAAAAAAAAAAAGGAATTTAGAAATGTTGCCCTGGCAACTAAAGTTTTAAGTAGAAATAAATATAAATTAAAGCTAAAAATAAATATATTTTAAAAAAATGACAAATGCACACAACTGAAAATATACAAATATAAGCTAATTAAATCAAAGAAATAAAATGTATATGTAAATATTGTTGTCACATAACCAACATTGCATGTTAAATTCAGTGATGCCCAGTCAGCATATAAAAATAAGCAATTTTTTTTGGTAAACATATATAAATGAAATATTTATATATTATGATTGTTAGCCCATAAAAAAGACAAAAGAAGGTCAAATCAATATAAAAAAAAACATAGTTGTATGGCTGATATCAGAGTCATGTGTTTAAGATGATTGCATAGTGAGCTCATGCTGTGTATTTTACATTGTATACTGTAAGTCATCCAGGTATTCCATGCATATAGAAAACTTGCATTCTGCATACGTACTGCAAACGGCAAAGATAGCATGTGCAGTGTGCTAATAATATCATAGTGAACTTACTGTAGCCATTCACATAGAGTCAATGATCTTAGCTGTGTTCTGCTTTTACCTTGTTGTCAGTGCCGGCCTCCCAGTACGTGAGCTCATATTTGGTGATCTGATCCTGGACGGGCCACAGCCATGACAGCATGATCCGGGTGTCGAGCTCTGCCTCTGCTTCAAAATTAGTGGGCTGCGCCGGCACTGCAGTCAAGGATGGAGTTTGTCTTACTATACACTTAAATCACACCATTATATTGACTTTTGAAGCTAACTTTTGTAATGTCTTTCAATAATCTTCATTTAGGTATGTTGTTGAATTATCTTTTCTTCTTTTCTCAGCCCATATTGACCAGAATTATTTTTGTAAAAAAAAAAGTGTTTTGTTAACTTAAAGCTTAAATAAAATATAAATTAAAATAAATAAAGAAAGAAATATTACCTTGGCAACTACCTGAAAAAAGTTTAAGTGGAAGTTATTAATAAATAAAAATAGAAATATATAAAAAAATATTGAAATATAAATAAATTAAACCTAAACAGTAATATTTAAAAATTAAACAAACTAATACAAAATTGTAAAAGCACATAATAAAATTTCTGAAACAAAAAGAACTGAAAATTTAATTAAAATGAAATAATAATAAAATATAAATATAAAAATAAAAGCTAATTGTTTCAATAAAAACTATAATAGCATATAAATAATACTAAAATAACACTGATATTGATGCCCAGTCAGTATATAAAATTACAGATTGTAAGCATTATTTTGCAAACAAATAAACAAACAAACATAAATAAATACTCATAATATATTATTATTTATTATTATTAATCCATTAAAAAATATATATAAGAAGGTAAAATCAATATCAAAAACATAGTTGATATTGCTAAATTAAACCTAAACAGAAATATTTAAAAAGAACAAAAACTAATAAAAATGACAAAAGCACATAACAGAATGCCTTAAAAATGAAATGGAGTATTAAAAATGAAATGAAATAATAATAATAAAATAAAAATATAAAAATAAAAGCTAATTAATAATTTAAAAACTGTAATAGTGTAAAACTAAAACTAAAATAACACGGATATTGATATCACATGCTCACTTTCATTAAACAATCAATGATATGGCACATATCTCACCTCCTTGCTGTGTTTTAACCTGCAGTATGTCCGAGGGCGGTCCGTCTCCCACAGAGGTGAAGGCCAGCACGCGGAGGCCGTACGTGATGTCAGGTACCAGGCCGGAGATAGTGGTCAGGCTGCTGTCCTCTGTGTTGTGTTTCTGCCATGTGCTGAGCGGGAAGTGCATGTCGGGCGTGTAGTACACTCGATATCCTCGTATCTGTCCGTTGGGCTCCTCTGGAGGTTCCCACTGCACCAGCATGGTCGTGGCGCTCAGCATCCGGGCCTGAACGCGCAGTGGAGGAGACGAGGGCGCCTGTTCACTGGTTTGGGTCTCTACCGCCCCGCTCGGCGGCCCGCGGCCGATGTTATTGACTGCCATGACGCGGAATTCATACTCAGAGTACGGGCTCAAGCCACCGATGCTGTAGCGCGTTGACGCCACTCCGTCTACTTCCTGGAAGCCGTTGTCTGAGACTTTGGCCCTGTACTGAATCACATAGTAGGATACGGGTTCGGGGTTGCCAGAATCCCATGTTAGAGTTACACTGGTGGCAGTGGTTTCCGTGACGATCAGAGATGTTGGAGGACGGGGCAGAGCTGAGAATGCAAAAGAAACAAATGCATTCTCAGCTTCCTGACAATTATGATTGTGAATAATAATAATAATAATAATAATAATATTGGCAACCATACATGTGCGTGAACATCTAAAGTGATCCAAAAAAGAACAGTGAGATGTGTTTTCTTTCATTAATTACTGTGAATTGACGGCAGTATAGCTCAGTGCACTTAATTTTAACAGCCAGTGAGACTCAATTATATCTAAAACACAACAGAAACGTGTGTGCTGTCAATTTCGACTTCAGATGAATTTCCTAAAACTGTAAATATTTCTCAGTTTGAACAATAAAAGTTGTCAAAATCCAATCAACATCCCAATACAAACAGAGCTGTAATATTGCAAGATCATAAACACAATAAAGAATACGCTTTAATAATACAAACCCGATTCCAAAAACGCAGCATTGGGGGAATTGGTGATCCTCTGCCCATCTTGACTTGACTTTGAGACACTGCCACTCTGAGAGGCTCTTTTTATACCCAATCATGTTGCCAATTGACCTAATAAGTTGCAAATTGGTCCTCCAGCTGTTCCTTATATGTACATTTAACTTTTCCGGCCTCTTATTGCTACCTGTCCCAACTTTTTTGGAATGTGTAGCTCTCATGAAATCCAAAATGAGCCAATATTTGGCATGACATTTCAAAATGTCTCACTTTCAACATTTGATATGTTATCTATATTCTATTGTGAATCAAATTTAATAAAAAGTTTATGAGATTTGTAAATTATTCCATTCCTTTTTTACTCACAATTTGTACAGTGTCCCAACTTTTTTGGAATTGGGTTTGTAGTCAGTCGCTATATCATATAGTGCTATACTGTTTAGTCTAGTTAAGAGTGTTTTCAGAGCTAAGTGATTTTAGCTACCGATTACTGTGATGTCTGCAAAGACACTAAACCAATATTAAAACTATAAGCATACAGGCCTTATAGAATATCATGATATATGTTCAGGTCAGTGTGTTAACTAAAACGTTTAAAAACATTTATTTTGGTAACTGAAATTAAATCTGAATATTAAATGAATTACTTAAACATACTTAAAAAAAGACAAGGTAAATTAGAAATGTCTGCCTTTGCAATAATACTAAAATAGCACTGGTTTAGATGTTAGATAATAGGCAAAAAAACTAACCATGCAGACATTTTTAGTCCTTGCATTTGAAATCTCTGGGGTGTTTTTGCCACATGCCCTGGTTTATTTATCATCCTTAACATGAAAAAGGTGTTTGAAATGTATTTCTCAGTGTCTTTGCTACTAAAGCACATATTCTGACATGCTATCGTATGCCAAACGAATGCAAATATATCTGTGACATTTCTCAGGTTATATACATGCTAATGATCTGGCATTTGTCATCAAAGCTGTGTTAAACACTGCTATTACGATTATTCTGTGTCTGTATCCGTTCAGTCAGCTCACCCTATTTCCACAGGCGGACAGAAAAATGCCTGCATTGTCATCAAATAGCTTTTGAAATCAACTCTAAACAAATTTTGTGCAATATGCGATTGGACAGCTGTCAGAATCCAGACAGATCAGCTTGACTAAGCAGCAGCAGTGTGGAAATAAATAGAAAAATCCAGTGAAACTTGTGGCTGTGTGGTGCTTTAGGAGGCTTAAAGAAATCCCAAAACACAAGATATTAACCTCAGCTAGCATGATAATGCATGACGGGAAACGGCAGTGAGTACACTCAACACACTGCACACTTTAATCAATGCTAATGCTGTAACTCGACTCCATGTGCCTGAATTGAGCTGAACTTCTCTTTGACTCCTGCTCTAAATTCTTTATTTTACACACTTCCCTAGATACACCCATAAACACTTGCTGATTCACTGAGTAACGAAGAGCTCAGAGTAGCCTACATTTACAGACTAATACAGTAACTGTTACAGTAATCAGTGCTGGGTAGATCATTTACAAATTGTAGTCCGTAACTGATTGCAATTTACATGACAAAAATTGTAGTCAGTAACGTAATCCATTATTTTACACATTTAAGGTAATATAATCAGGCTACTTTTGATTACTTTTATTCACATTACTTTAGAACTAACTTGTTTATCACATTGATTTAAATATGACAATCTTGTATCATATTGATATAAAAATACGAAGAGAAAGAAAATATATTCCATTCATTGTTATCAACAACATGAAGTACATTTAAACATATCATTACATCAAGATTTCCCAAACTGGGGTTCGTGAAGGAACTGCAGGGGGTTCGTGAGTTTAATGAAAAGCAAATAATTAATTAAATCATAATAATTTAAAATAAAATAAATCATTTTTAAAATAACAACTATCAAAATAAAACACTTACTAAAAAAGTTTAAATATCTTATTTGTTTACCTGCATGTCATGTGACCATTAACCAACATCAGAGAACCGTGAACATGCAAATGTGATGCTTAATTATTAAAATATTTATTTTTAAATCTAAGGGGTACTTCAAGTAAATAGGTGAAAGAGGTTCAGCTGATAAACATTTTTTTGGGAATCCCCACATTACATGCAAATAAAAAATTAGGGAGAATCAAAAAATTATGAATAACTTATTGTTATTTTGTGAATAATATGTAATCATGTAATCAATAAAAAAGCACCTGTAGTCTGAGAATTTTTGGAATCTGATCCAGATTACACACAATCAGATACTACCCAGCACTGGATACTATGTTGTTGTTGGCGGTTGCCAGGGTGTTGCTATGTGGAAGCTAAGGTGTTCAGAGCTGTATAGAGCGAAATGCATCGTTGTTGCTAGGGTGTTGCTATGGTTTCCTGAGTGTCTTAGAGTGAGCTACTAAGTGGTTGCTATCATGTTCTAAATGATTTAGAGTGAGTTAGTTAAAAAGAATAGTGAGTTGTGCTTATAGCTAGAGTCAAAGAGCCCATGCAGGTTTGTATGATATTCTGGTGTCTGAGCACACCTTCAGTGTGAGTCTATTTGTATTTTAGCATCATCTTGTTCAATGTTCCTGTGGCTCAGTGGTAGAGCATTGCGTTATGTGTGTTCCCGGGGTTCGATTCCCAGGGAACACACATACTGGTAAAAAATGTATAGCCAGAATGCACTGTAAGTCGCTTTGGATAAAAGTGTCTGCTAAATGCATAAATTATAATTATTAAAATTATCTTATTGTTCAAATCTTTAAACCGTTGTGTGAGAACAACAGTATTTACAACAACGACACAGAGTGCAGCCTCTTTCTAGATTTCACAGCACAGTAATTCAGAGAGTGTGCTCTTTCACGCAAGCGTTTAACATGATAACTTTGGGACAATTAAATGTTTCGAATGGATTCATTATCGCGCAACAGCACTAAAAATAATCCTTAATGATGATTCAGAGCTCAGAGATTCTGTTCGCTCTGTCAAGGCGGAATAAAGGAGGAGAGAGATCTCCTCATTACATTTCAGCTCTGATGAAACATTGATGAGGTGATTGCATGCACTGTCTGTCTGGGTCGGTGGGAATCCCCATGAGTGTGTTATTGATGAGATTTCACTCTCAACGTTTCTGGGCCAAGCCTCCAATCTTTGTTTATTACCGTCTAGATAATCACAGATAATCACTGACTTTAAGTACACAACTGATATCAACGCTAGCTGTATGGATCACTTGGGGACAAAGATTAAAAAAAGCAATTTATTCATTTAAATGAATGAAACCAAGCATACTTCATTATTTTTAGGAATGTTACTACTTTACTTGAATATAAACGTTTCTGTATTACTACGTTTTGAAAAGCAAATGAAAATACACTTCTCCTTTGTGTGGGTACAATTGTAGTATGCATAACTGATTCACAAACAAATTGAGTTTCTTTTTCTTTCTTTAATGTTTTGACCAAACCAACAAATTAACAACTAATTTTAATTTTTGGGGTTATTATTATTATTATTATTATTTTTATTTTTTTAAGAAAAAATTACTTTTATTCAGCAAGGATGCATTCAATCAATCAAAAGTGACAGTAAAGACATTTATAAAATAACAAAATAATTATATTTCAAATAAATGCTATTTAATTTTTTTTAATTAACTGTTTACAACATTAATATTAATAAGAATAATCATAAATGTTTCTTGAGCAGCACATCGGCATATTAGAATGATTTCTGAAGGATCATGTGACACTGAAGACTGGAGCAATGATGCTGAAAATTACATTTTAAAATATATTAAAATGGAAAACTCTTATTTAAAATTGCAATAATATTTCAAAATATTACAGTTTTTTCCCTATATTTTTTATCAAATAAATGCAGCCTTGGTGAGCATAAAAGACCTCTTTCAAAAACATAAACAAATCTCAAACCTTTGAACGTTAGTGTATCTTTAATTATATTTAACCATGACTACTTTTCATACAAGTGCAAACCTTAAGCAGATCCTGTGTGACTTATATCTGAGGTGAAGCGTCTCTTACCTTTGACGGTGATCTGAGCCGTGGTGTCGATCATGCCCAGGGAAGATATAGCCACACAGGTGTAGTTAGCCGACTGCCGGATGTTGGTGAGCTCCAGCACACTTCTGCCAATAGGCATCTCCTCCTCTTTGGTGAGTTCCTGTTCCCCCTTCATCCACTTCACATAGGGCATGGGAGCGCCCACCGCCACACAGGTGAGGTTCACGCTGCCGCCCGGCATCACCTCGTGATTGGTAGGTGGGATTGAGAAACGTGGCGGAACTCGCCGGACTGTTGGAGGAGTGCAGATTATGTTATATGCAGAATACAGATACTGGAAGGCAGAGAACATGCTTCAGGAATGGCTCTGGCAATACACCAATGACATCTAGAGTCTGTATTTGAGTGATTGTACTGTAAATATGAGAGATATTAAATATAAATTAGCTCTCTCTATATCTTAATGATTAATCTGAACAGACAAATGCCAAGCTAAATCAAGGAAACAGAGCTGAGAGCCTTAATATACTAAACATTCACCATATAAGAGTCTGTTTTGACAGTAAATACATCTCAAGGCCTTTTTTTGTCTCTACAGTCGAGTCTCCTTATTGTCTCATTAAATTCAATTTCTGCCAAAGCGCTCGAAAACTATTCACCATTACATCACTAAATGAGCTCTGTTTGCATTACAAATACATACTAAAAATGCAGAAGAAGAGGGTCGTCGAGTTGTACAGTGCTTTTTTCTCTGTCACACTAGCTTGGACTGACAGATGCTCAGGACCTCAAAGAGACAGTGGACAGGTGAATGTCACGTCTCAGATTTGAACTTTAGACTTTCTCATCACTGTGACTGATAGATTAGCAGTGCAATGCACATTTGCTTTATCATTTCATAGATATAAACAGGGACATTCAGACTCTGAAAGCTTGAGATTTCACTGAATTTCCCACAGAATTCAAATGCATGTCACTTATAAAGTTTTAAGCATTCACCACCCCTTGCATGCTTGTTTATTAAATATTATAGATAATTTGATTATGCTTTCAGCCATCAATGAGACTGTCAGATTCGTTTAAAATTCTAGTATGTTTAAACAAATTTCACAAAAGTATTTTTTATATATATACTTTCTGGTAAAAAAAACTATTTGCATATGACTTATTTACATGTTGGCATGACAATGTTCATTGTAACATTGTAAAGCTATTTTTGCAAAGAAATGCATCTAATTTAGATCATGAATGCCATGATTTGACAGCAGAATGTCCTCACCACATTTAGTTGGTGTGAAGCCAAAGCCAAACCATCCTGTCCACTGAATTCACAGCAAACACACTGTGTATCTCCAGAGCTACCCATAACGAGGAGCATTTTATGTAGACTTCAAGGGTAAACAGCCTTCTGAGAGCATCCATGAAGAGCCCGCTAATAAACCGATCTTTTATAATGCCTCTCCTTATATAAAGTGGAATTGTTTTCAGATGGCAGCTGAGTTTAACATGGAGCTCTGCAGCCAGACATCTGCCTATATTTCATGGATAAACAAGTCTCACTTCTGAGAGACTCCAACTCACTTCCAAATCCGAACATTACCTGCTCATTTCCTCACACAAGAAATGATTGCGGATAAATGAGGAAAGTATGCGGCTGAGGGATTACAAATGCTCAGTATTTATTTGACTTGAATGCAGTTTCAGGAAAGTAGAGCATTAACTATAACCCAGAGACCAACAATAATCATTCATCTCGCTCTATCACAACATACAGTAAATACAGTTTTCGGTTTCTGCATTATTACAGTAGGTAAGGTTGGTAACATTTTTTTTTACGGTGTCCATGTTACAGATCAGAGCATGTGAGCAGAGCGGGGAGCGGAGTGGTAATATTTACGTAGCGGAGCGTCACACCGCTCCGCTTCGCTCACATGCTCTGTTACAGATGTTACATGTACTTATTATAGTAATAACAATAAACTTTGCTAAATTACATGCAACTAACCCCAAACCCTCATCCTAACCCTAACCATATAGTAAGTACATGTAGTTAATGAATATTACTCAGTACTTAAAGGTATAATTACACTGTAACAAGGACACCGTAAAATAAAGTGTTACCGCAACTGCGTAAGAAAATACTGCAAACTTATGCAATGTGACAAATCTGTCCTCACTGAAAGTGAAATAATGTGTGCACCAAGAAAAAACTAATCACAATGAGGCTTTCAACCCCTGAGATTCCACAGTGGGTGGAGCTACATTTTGCAATGCAATGTAATGCAAAAAAAAAAAAAACTCAATGATGAACTGACAAACGATAGTGGCTAGTAAAGGCAAAAATAGCACATGGTTATGCCACATTATTTTTTTAACCACAAAACCTTTAACTCAGTTTTTGTAATTTGAACATATTGCTGAGGTTCAGGTACAGTAAATCAATATTTATTGCAAAATGTATTGATTCAAGTCAGGTAAACACTGAGCAAATTGTGCTTATGGTGTGTGATCTGTATTGGCCGTGGCCAGAGGCTGCTGAACTGATCATCATCTCTGAGAGTTACGCTCAGAGTTTTGACTTTTGGGATTGAGTTAAGTTTGTTAGTCGGGCAGGAATGCCTGCAGGTGTAAGAGTGCAAGAGAGACATCACATTAATCCACGTTAGTCACTGTACATAGAGAGGATGATGTTACCCATGGACATGAGGGATGGTCACGACATGATGGCAAGAGATTCACTCAGTTAGAGATTGTTAAGAATGTTTGAGAAGTCTCTGCTGGCTAGTAAAACAGACCGGCGTGAGCGATGTGAACGATGCCAGTGGCCGTGGTGAGATTAGAGAATGGGCTGAGCTGACTTTAGTCACTGATCTCATGAGAATATTGCTGGGAGTGTTAACAGAGCAATGGAAGCTTGCAGTTAGACATGCAGACAAACACATATACATGCATGCACACATTCAATCTGAAGAGAGAAAGAGAGCACAAGGAGAGAAAGAGGATGTTTTGAAGGGGAGGTGATTGCAGGTAGCTGGGGTTTATTCAATGCACAAGAGATTTCATACACACACATGGACACACACACAAACAATCCCAAGTACATCAATGGCTGTGCAAACATGAAGCAAAAAAGCACACATATATAGATAGTCAACAGAGCATACATGACCTACAGACTAAAACACCAATAAATGAAAAAAGAATCCAAACAAATGCATCAAAAACGTACAAAATAGTGCAAAGAAACCAATTTCAGCTTCATCTGCTCAATAGAAAAAAATACGGTTGGATAACACTCCGAAACAAGCTGTGATCAGAGAGGGATTCTACAACAAGCAAACTCCTGATCCTGACAATGTTTCTGCTGTCAGGGATGGACACTACAGTTGAACAGTCTTCTGCAGTGTCAACTCGCTGTAAATCTTCTGGTCTGAGGTGGATTATTGGAGAACCAGTCTCTAATCAGCATCAAAGCTGTGCTTTACAGATTCAACCAACTCAAATAAAAGAAACATGAACTCAGGGTCCAAGAAGAACATGCCAAATAAGAATAAATCTTTTTTTAACTGCCAGTTTGGCTGGCTTTATTAGAAACTGCAACATATATAGTCTGACACTCACTGATATATGGTTGCATCTACAAAAACTAAATGTAATATTAGTGACAAATACAGTGCTCATCTTCTAACAAGTGGAAAATGTATCATCCAAAATTGATCTAGGATGCATATAGGTTTCTTCTTCAAGAACTTCTAAAATGAAAATATAAATAAACAAAACAATGAAAATATAAATAAACAAAACAACTTCAAAAAGAAGAGGAGATTGGATAATTTCATATATGATGCTTTCCTTTGCCACAAATAATCCATAAAGTATTTTTATTGTCAGAGAGTAAATTATGTAATTTCAAAGTATAGTTTCTAGGCCAGTAAGTAATATTTATGGCCAGCAATTCATTCCATAGTGGGACGTGTAGCAAAAAAAAAAAAAAAAAAAAAACCTTCCCTATAATAGACAAGAGAAGTCAAATCTAAGACTACAGGGATTATCCGTGTTGAAATGTCTCATTTGTGCTCTGCAGGTGCCAGTGAGAGATACTGCAGAACAACAGCGCTGAAGATATCTCGCCCGAGGCCACATAAAGTGAATTATGCATTACGACATGAAGACCTGAAGAGATGATCAGCACAGAGATCGGAGTGACCTAAAATCGACTGCCAGAAACCTGGGTCATGTTAACCCAACCAGAATATCAAGAATCGTTGCTATATAGTTCTTGATGTTACATTATAGATTCTTCAGATAAGTCTACTGGCTTCTGGACTTATAAAACAATTTATTTTCCTAAATCAGTTTAAAAAATACAAATAAAAAAACAATAAATAAATAATAAATAACCAAATTGATTGATTGACTGACTGTTTTTTTGCACACAACCATGCCAAAATATCTCATTTTCATTACTGTGTAATGAAATGCATCTAATAAATATATAACAGCATTATTTAAAATGTAAGGTACAACTTTAAGCGTAAAACATGGATTGTTTTTGTTGTATAAAAACAAGAAAATATCATTACAAACAAATAATAAATAAAAAATCAAAATGGAATGCAAAATATAATTTTTTCCCCCTTTTGCTTTTGAAGGCGAAATATGACCTGAACATTTATTTGTGAGATTCATCAAAAAAAAAAAAACTCTTAGTGTTCTCTCATCGCACTAAGCTGTAAAACTTTTCTGGTACAAACTGGAAACTAATTTTTCAGTGCATTTGCTGTGTGAGTCCTGAAACACCACATTGTTTGACAGTATGTTGTTTCTATTTTCCTTAAGCTTCCACACTTCAAAGGGAAAAAGCTAATTTGTCAATGTCATGCATTGTTCTTGTCCAACTGAAACAGCTTGTTTCTGCGATAATGTGACATGAAGAGGACATTGTCTTCCTCCTATATGAAGAACAGATGCCCGGGTTCAATCTCGCCGGGTTTCTGGAAGGATAATGACACTCTTTTAAACAAAAAACGCTGGGACGAAAAAGCTCTTTTGCTTTCTGCCATCATATTTTCTGTCTGTTTGTATTGTTCTCCACATCGGAAGTCCTCACCAAATGGCTGATTCCAAGACAAACAATGAAAGCTGCTTTAGCCAGCTTAAATACTTGAGAGCTCAAAAGGCTTTCTGGCAGTTCACAGAACAAGCCCTCTGATGAAGAAGCAGAGCAGAGCAGACAGGGGATTGCTGCCATCTTTGAAATTTGAACTGGTATATAAACAGGTCTGATCCGCTAAGCTAAGGGTGGATTCCTCTGTTTGTTCTTTGACCTCTGAGTTCAAGCTTTGAGCAACAGCAAATCGTCCTGTTCATTTAGAAAGAATGATGCTGCTGTCCTCTGTTTTCACAAACAAGACCAGCCTACGCTGCACAAAACACCTCCTTAAAACATGAGCATGCACACAAGAAAACTTCTGTAGACAAGTACATAAAAATACTTCAGACAAATAAAATAACTGGTAGAAATCCTCGTGACACAAAGGGTGTTTTCACACTTCACATGCGAGATGAAACCAGTAGATAAATGCAAGTGTGATTAGTGTTATATCACTGAGATACTATTATAGTTTTTATTATTATTTTGGGTTAGTTTTTATTTTTATATTTTCAGTTTCCATTTTAATTGTACAATTTTGTTGTGTTTATGTCGTTTTTAGTAGTTATTTATTTATAATGGTAACTAGCTTAAAATAAGTTTAGATATTTTATTTAAGGTAACATTTATTTTATTTCATGTAACATTTTTTTTCATGGTTTTAGTTTTAGTTAACTATAATGACCTTGGTAAAAACCAAAGGAACAAACACACAATTGTATAATGAAGAGTCCTTACACTGCTATAGTGACTGTGCTCAGGACTGCAGTTATATTACATATATACAGTTAAATAATGTGAAACAACTCAAACTAGAAGTGCAGTTTTAAAAACAAGGACCAGATGGATGTTTCTTTTGGGATTTTGCCATTTGCAATTGGTATGCATGTAAAACAACACAAAACAAACCAAAAATGCATGACTGAAAAACTCAACATTGGTTTCCATTTTTTAAACAAATGCACCATAGATTGAAGCCAAAAAACACAATGCATCGATCTCAGGTTCAGACCAAGTAGTTGAAGTGTGAAAACAGCATAAAAGATCCCTGAAGTTGCTTTAGGGCTCTTTACACAAAACTACAAATGTCTGAAAACAACAAAACATCCACAGTTCTGACACATGCATCATGAAGAAATAGGCTAAGCTGAAATGTGAGGCAGCAGCATGCATGTGGAAGGGGAGGATGAGAGAGATTCAGGTAGAGCAGAGCTCCAGAGAGACTGGCACACAACAGCAGGGGACGCACGCCGCCTCCCGTCCACCGGCCGACCCTCTGCGTAGGAGGAGAGATAGTGAAAAGAACGCACCTTCCCGCTGGTCTGTGAGTGAGGAGTGGATTGATTTTGGATGGCAGGGTGCGATGATGATGGAGGAAGGGAAAAAAAAGAGAAGAGAGGAGGAGGAGGAGGAAGACAAGGAGAAACAGAGAGAGTAAAACAGGCAAATATTCCGCTTATCCATAAAAGAGACGTGAGACGAGAACATGGAGACAATCACAGCACCAAAACACACTCACACACCCATTCATTTCCAGTTTTGTTCTTGTATTGTAAATCAAGGTGTATTTTATGAAAGCTTATGCATTACATTCAGGCCAGATTTGAAGTCGATACATTGCAAGCGCATACCGTATTTTCTGAAAAATGAGTTGCACAGGGTCAAAATTTCATTGAGAGAGAAAAAAAGATTTGCATTGGTCACGTGTTCTTATTACAGTTGCATGCCATAATTACACTCAGAAATAATATAAAATATTAGTGAATGAAAGGTTCACAAACATTATAAACACTATAAACATTAGTGCCAGACAACATTTATGCTATTATAAACACCAAATCTATAAGCAAATTTTTAAACGCATCATACAAGTTGCTTCGGAATAAAATTTTGCAGCATGTTTCAGATGATAAAAAGTGGCATATTCCAGAAAACACAGTACTTAACATGCTTTCTTGCCTTGTTGTGGTGGTAACTAACCTCAGGAACAAATTACTATATAATTACTATAGACTAACCCAAACCCTACCTGACAATAAAAAAGTTAGCATTTTTAGAATTAAAAAAGTACTGAATTGTATATGTGCACCTGTGTGCATATAAATGATTTAATTAACCTATAGTATGTCTCTCTGCGATCTCTTTCTGCCTACACCTTCCAAATTTACAAAAGCACACACACACACACACACACACACAAAAATAAACAAACAAACAAACAAACACAGAAGAAGCATGATGCAAGACCCTCATCAGTGCTTGAGGGTCTCAGTGTGATAAGGCACATGAGAATGAGAGTGAACACACACACAATCTTTCACATGAAAGGATAAGCAATTATGGAATGATCACTCCTATATACAGTGATAAACACCTACTCACTGCAGTTGAACCCAAAGAAAAAAAAGACACATTTTAGAGAGAGAGAGAGAGAGAGAGGAGGAAATGCACTAAACAAACACACACAGGCCCACACACAGCGTTCAGAAGAGATCTGTTAGAGTACGTGTGTGTCAGTGAAGTTTGAACACCTGGAGAGAGACTCTAGTTAGTCAGACTATAAAGAAGAACAAAATCACATCACAGCATACAGAAAATATCCTCATTAGCAGGGCTGGCCGATACGTTTATAAACACTGATTGTATTGAAAACATTGATTCATTTAGTTTGATTCATTTAGGTCAATCAGTTCTTCAAACTGTTCATTTCAATGAATCAATTCAAGAATCAATGATTCACTGATTCCGTGAATTGTTTGCTAAAAATATTAATGGAAGTGCATGTGAGGCAATTTATATGCCTTAACATTTAGTAAAATAAATATCTTGGCAAATGCTGTTGTGTGTACTAATAAATACTGTTATGTTTACTGTGCAATTTATACTTTAACTAAAATAAGTAAAACTAATTAAATATTCTTCTCATTCATTTAGTGGAAAAAAACATTCTTTTGATTATTTTAAATATTTCTTTTACTGTATTTAACTTTAAACATTTTGAATTTACATGTAATAGCTGTGGTTAAAATGACGATTCCTCGCAATGAAAAAACCCTTTAAAGCAAATACTAAAATGTTGAGATATTGCCATATATTATTTAAGGACTCTATCGTCCAGCCCAACTCATTAGTTATAGAATAACAATGCAAGAGAAACGCATGCACACACAGTGATAAGCCTATAGAGTTCACATAACCACGAAGACACATCAATAGTAAACCCTTGAATAGAAAAGCAATAAAAGTATGACACTTCCAGTGAAAAATTCATGGACTAACAAAATGAAAACATCTCTCTCACCATAAAACATCAGATGCTCATACATATATATTAAACGTCATTCATCAAAAGGCACGTCTTGAGAGAGCGTGTGGTCTGTGTAAAGATCAAAGGGCTCCAGAGAGAATTCACATGATATGATCTGCACGATGCATCATTTATATGAGTTTCTCTCCGATTGGTCGAGGGCTTGAGGAAGAAGACCAGGAGAATTTATGGACAAAGATGTGTGTCTAGTTCTCATTTCCCCGGTTTACTTTTCAAACACATACACAAATGCAAAATTCAAAACACACTATCAAAGAACAATGTACAACGCATCACCATATTTGAAAGTCTGAGTTTGAAGTGTCCTTTAAGCACTTGCCTGGCAAAAGTGGCTGTTAAATAAAAGGCGTTTCTTTGAAACAAGGCTTCAGTGGTCTCTATAGCTGCTGTAATAGATCCCGACATTAATGAGGGAATTTCCAACGGGATTCTCCATTCCAGCTTGCAAGTCTCAACTCAGTCCTTTCGTTGATGATGCCCTGACAACCCTTTCACCATTTCCACCAACCTTCATGACCAGCAGCATTAGAGGGCATTTTATCTCATTTGCTACTCTTTACCAATTTTAAATATATTCTGCACTTGTTCCTGAAGTCCAATTATAATGCTAATCAGGTTTCTAGCACAAAAAAGATGTACTTTAATATTTTCAACCTCTCTCTGGCATTACCAATTGAACAGGCTGCTTTTGCTACTGTACCTTTAAGACTTTTAATGATCTCTGGTGAAAGGCCGACCTCCTCACAACTAACAGCTAATGCAACGCAAACGGTAAAGTAATGGAATATATTCTAGAAATATTAAATTTAAAACACATGAAATATATCAAAAATAACAGAAATAGCAAAGATCACTGGGAGAAAAATTATTAAAAATATAATCAGTGTAAATCAACTATAATCATCTTGGACCTAAAAGCTTTTAAAAAGTATATTAGTTGTAAAGATAAGCTTGTAATTTCACAGTGAAGTCAAAAACTGTTATACATTATACAACAAAAATACATTAAAAATAAAATAAAATACAATTTTCTAATTAATTTAGTGAAAAGCTGTGTGGAAAACATTTCTTGATTATTCAAAACTGGAAAACAATGGCACAGTTCTCCACTGCAGAACCGTGTTTCTATTAAGACAAATGCGTGATTAGAGAGAAATGTGAGCTTTTGAGCGACAGGTCCTGTTCTGGCCGTGGTAAAGCCTGTATGGAGAGCAGATCGAGGTGAAACGGGATGGGGTTTTGGATTTGGTTGCAGATCTTACCTCTGACGTAGAGGTTGGCAGGAGCGGAGTAGCGTGTTCCTGCGCTGTTCACCGCCACACACTCATACTTGCCCTGGTCCGATTCCTCGCTGTTCTCGATTTGGAGAGCCCCTGCAAACACAACACACACAATCACAAATGCTCTCTCACACACTCACAAACAATCGCAACCTCCGTCGCTTTAAACGAGGGCGGCCTGAGGAAAATAATCTATTTTTTCTGCCTAAACAACACGTACACACTGACTAACACTCGGCTGGCATATGACCTTTCTCGTCTCTCTAAACACTGAAAGAAAAGAGCAACATCTTTCACATAATTCAATAAATCTAAAGCAAACTGAGTTATTTATTCATTGTGGCAAGTAAAAAGACCTGCAGGCTATGCCAGCTATAAACGTCACTGTACATAAGCTCTGCTATTTTGCGAGCCGAGACAAAGCCGTGCTCTTAGAGAATGGATCTATCAAGATGTAATACAAGCGCTGCAATTACTGTCAATACATCCTCTATGCATCCACTGCAGGTGGACTAAAACTGACAGCAATATCATAAAGTTCTGTATCTCCGTCTTCACACTGTCACTTACCTGGGTTCGGCATTCTGTTGATAACATAAATTAACACAAAAAGTTCATATACATTGCGTTTTGACAAAAATCATTAGCTCATTAGGTGTTTTAGTATGGTGGTGCTGTTTGTTTGCGTGATGTGACATACATCATGCAATCTGTGGATGATGGAAGCACACTGAGAGAACTAAAAAAATGTTGTCAGAGTATTTCAGAAGTATTCCTGAAATGCATTATGGGATGGGTTTAAACGTGTGCAATAACAATAGAAACATAATCGAAAGACTGTGAGTGCATGAGACCTGAGCATTAACCTCGCTCCCCGAGTGTATTATACAGAAGAATGACTCTTTAAAACATTTACAGCACACATAAACACATACACACACATATGAGATCTGTTCCAAACCCAAATGAGCTGTAAAAATGTAAAAAAATAAAAGATCAACCAGAGTTATTAACTAAAAGTATACAAAAAAGTAATTACTTGAAATAAAATAAACATTTCCTGAAGTAAAATAAAATATAAACTTAGCTTATTTTACCTATTTAGCATTTTGTTTAAAGCAATAAAAATAATTCAATAAACTCAAAAATAGTAAAAACTACAGACATATATAAAAAAGACAAAAATACTAAAACTTTAAATAAAATGAAAACGAAAACAGTAAATATAAAAATAAAACCTAATTCTAAATTATGAAAATAAATATATAATTCTAAAATAACACTGGGATCAACGTGTAGCTTAAATACAATGTAAGTTAAAACTACTTTTCCAATCATTCTCTGCATCAGCATAATGAGATAATAAAATACACAGATAAAGCATAAATCACACACCTAATGCATGTGTTTTGCTCTTTATTGTGTTGAACTAGTGGTAAAAATTATTCCTATGCAAGTTTTATGTTTAGAATTACAATTTTCAAACGTGCAGTATCTTCCTAGGAAGGTGAAGTTTTTATTGGTTCTTTGATGTGATGTTAGATTTTGGTCAAAATTAGGTATCTTTTTAATTTTGCTGTTTGCAGTGGCTTTTTGATACAGTACTTAGAAATGCAGCTCAGCAGTGTTTGGAACAGAGCTACTGTCTCTTTTTCTCTACTCATCAGGAAAGCAGGCTTTTTTCTATCACTTATTACATCTGAAGCGCTAGTGTCAGCCTGATGTTGAAGGATGCTGTTCTGTCCTCTCTCAGTCTCATCTCACTTTCTCGCCCTGACATTCCTTCTGAAGAGATCGACTTAAATCTTGCATTTCTTTCCTTCTACATCAGTCCTGTCATATCAGCGGTGCGTTTTCTATCCCTCAGTTGAGCCATTCTGGACTCTTCTGCCGGAGACGAGAGGTGCTCGGTTAATACATGACACTAATTTTTTCTGCTGTGGGGAATGAGATGTTGTCCAGGTATCTCACAGTTTCTCAAGCCGCACTGCATCTCTTCAGTTATTGATCAGACAAATGGTCAGCCATCCGGACAGTAAGTAAAGGTCAGTTCAGCAGAAAATTACAGTTAAGTTCATTTCCTCCACATTCTTACTCTAATGTATTCAGATATTTTACTTGAGCCTTTTTTGGTAATTATCGCTATTCTCAATGATGATACTCAAAATAACATATGACAAAAATAATATTATATATACTATAATGTAGTACAGATAAAAACAAATTAGTATCATTATGTATAAAATTTATATAAACATATTAATGTAGAAACAATTTTCACATTTCCCCAAATTCTCATTTTCATAATGTATTCAGACATTTTAATGTATAGTTTTTTTTTTTATAATTCTTGCTATTCTCAATGATGATACTCATTATTGTGACATATAAAAATAATATTGTTTTATATATTACAGTAATGAGTATCATTATTGAGAATAGCAAAAATATATGTATAACCTTTAAAAAATATTAATTACTATTACTATTATGCATTTAAACAATGTAATACATTTAAAACAATATATAATGTAGTATATAACATAATATAGTGTAGCTAAAATCAAAGAAGTATAAAAGTTGTATAAATATATTAATGTTGAAATATTTTTTTGATATTAATATCATTTATGCAAAATGTAATTTCTTCTTCAGATTTTGACGGATATGACGGATAAGTTCTTGACAGGTTTTGTGAAATCCATAAAAATGTTAATAAGATGCATATTTTGTTTTTGTCTTTTGTTTGGTATAGTGATGTATTATTTTCAGTAAGACTGAATCAGACGTCCATTAGTGAGACAGACGAGCAGAGGTTCATGCACAGAGACGAGGAGGAAGACAAAGAGAAAGGTTCCAGAATGAGAGAGAAAATGGGGACAGGGTGATGGAGGGGGACACTTGGGGGTGAAAGAGGAATCGAATGATGACGCATTTGGATTTTTTCTGTTTTCAGCATTCTTACCTCTGATTGGTGTACCACCTGGTGAGGTAATATGAATGCAAATAAGATTAAAGAGAACTGTTAGTGTGAAAGAGAGAGAGAGAGAGAGAGCTAGAGAGAGAGAAGAGGAAAGATGAACAGGAGAAAAATATTTCTTTTTTAAGAAGCGGCATGTACAATCTTCCCCAGAAGACGTTCGGCTCTTCTGTTCTCAGTGTGTGTTAATTCACATTATGAAGTTTACATTGCTGCTTCAGGCCAGAAACACGATATGCAAGTATGCATGGTCCTGTTGTACATACATGATGTTCAATCTCCAGTACTCAAAAGAGTTACTATGCTAAATGTCTGTGCAATCAAAATAGATGTGTTATTATTTAGGGAGCTGGCTATAAAAAATTAATTTGAACTAAATTGCACAGCAAACATGACAGTAGTGTCCATAGAAGAAGAGTTTACAGTAATATCTGCAATAGCATCCCTTGTACTCGAGTTTAGAGTTCACGTACCTGTACTTGTTTAGAGTATGTTTTGGCCTTTAAATGACTCATTCTTGTGAGCCAGTAATAATTTCATCTCTCTCTGCACAAAGGTCTTTTGCTATTTTTACAGTGCTGCACATTCTACCTCCAGCACAACTTTGGCCTTTGAATTTAACCACAGCTGTGCTAAATAAAAACATAAGTTGTCTGAAGCATCACAGAAGAAAACCTTTTTGAGCAAACTGCAAAGTGATAGTGCACTGACCGACCCTTGAGTCTTATTAATTTCAAAAGAGACTTGTTTAACTTTGAAAAAGCTCCAGATACTTGCCATTTCATTGTTACATGTTTTTTTTCTGACCAAAGTCATATTATAATTACAATGTACAAACCTGTAGTAAATGCCTAGGAGTGTTTTTTAATAGATACTTATGCAATATGTTGATATGTGAAGTTGCCTTAGATTTTAATAAAAAAGAGTCCATGTGGAGTCTGTTGACTATGATGCAGATTCATGTCAATCTGGATCATAAATCAACCACTCCACCATGTGAAAACAGTGCAGATTTGGGAAGGGGGTCAGAGACACGAGGAAGCCCCTGTAAACTGTGTGGATTGTGGTCCATCAGCAGTTTACAGAGAGCATGGCGTACACTGGGACCCTCAGAAAGCCCAGGATGTCCAGAAAAGGACAGAATTGAGGACTTTAAGGTGAGTCTGCAGTGTAGCACATCCACCATGTGAAAACAGTGCAGATTTGGGAAGGGGGTCAGAGACACGAGGAAGCCCCTGTAAACTGTGTGGATTGTGGTCCATCAGCAGTTTACAGAGAGCATGGCGTACACTGACACCCTCAGAAAGCCCAGGATGTCCAGAAAAGGACAGAATTGAGGACTTTAAGGTGAGTCTGCAGTGTAGCACGAGCATAATGAAAAATCAACCACTCCACCATGTGAAAACAGTGCAGATTTGGGAAGGGGGTCAGAGACACGAGGAAGCCCCTGTAAACTGTGTGGATTGTGGTCCATCAGCAGTTTACAGAGAGCATGGCGTACACTGACACCCTCAGAAAGCCCAGGATGTCCAGAAAAGGACAGAATTGAGGACTTTAAGGTGAGTCTGCAGTGTAGCACGAGCATAATGAAGAATAGTAAGACTTTACTATATCTTCACTATGGCTAGAGGGAGAAAACTTGAGTATGTGTTAATTTTTGCAGTTGGTAGTAAGAGTTCACCAAGACAGTCGCTATCAATCCTGGCTGTATTTAAGACTTTAAACAGCAGCTAAGCTGGACATCCATTATCTTACTGAGGAGAAATCAATAATCAGTCCGACACATCTCTGTTCATAAAGATTGGCACACCAATCCTCATAAATCACCTTGGCCTGAGAGCTTAGCGTGGCGTAGTGGGTAAAAATCGGTAACGCATGTCTACGGGATTAGTGCTTTTTTATCATCTTATCATCTGTCAGATTCTTTAGCACAAATGTTGCTGAAAATTAAGTGCAGACATGATAAAGATTTTTATTTGAACAATGGACCATTTTCAAAGACTGATGCGTTTCCACAGTAATTAACAGGGCCTAAAATACACACTCGCTAAGCACCAAATGCATGTAAAAAAAACAGCATCAAAAACTGTTAATTGCCAGCTGGCCGGTAACCTTTATAAAATGAATTCTAACAATGCCTGAGAATGCAATATAGTGCAATTATCAAATTGCATAGACCGTGTTGTAATGTAATCTGATGTGCTGTGTGATTCAAAGTGGCCTAACCCTAACCCTAATCACTGTGATCTTTTCACGTGAGCTGCTCATGATAACAACGTTTTCAATATCTCGGAGTGGTTCACACTAAATGCTGCTCCACACAAACAACATTCCCGTAAGTGCTGTGAGTTTGAATCGCTACAATTAGATTACAATTAGATGTGTTTCCCCAATTTGTTCTGGCTTTTTTTTTAAATAATGAAATAATGCACATACATTTTCATGGCCAGTAAAAAAAAAAATGTATAGTTGGTAAATTTTAAAGTCACTGGCCAATGGCAGGTGTTGTAAAATGTTAGTTTTAGGCCCTGCTTATTAACATCTAGAATCTAGAGAAAAAAATTTCTAGAAAATCTAGAAAAAGTTATTAATATTGTATTTCC